GACTTGCTGGGCTCCAGCAGTCCTTCCACCTCAGCCTTCCAAGTAGCCAGAACTACAGGCGTGCACTACCATGCCTCCTGATTTTTCTTATTTATTGTAGAGACGAGGTCTCGCCAAGTTCAAACCTACTCAGGCAATCCACTCGCCTCGGCCTCCCAAAGTGCTGGGATTACAGGCTGAGTCACCAAGCCCGGACTCTTTGCCTTATTTTCAAGTATTAGATACTTTTTATTAAACTTATCTACCCATTCATATATGCAATAAACCTTTATTAATATCCATATGCCAGGGATGTAGAGATAAAGACATAGTCCCTGTCCTCAAGAAGCTCCTGATTTAATGGGGGTAGACAAACCTGCAAAATAAAAAATGTAATACAAGGTGATAAGGCAGATGTCCCCCCTGGCTCCCAGGGATTCCATTATTGCAGAGATAGGATCATCTCGCTCAGTCTCCACTTCCATACCATGACAACCACGCCATTTCTCCTACCCACTTTTTTTTTTCTTTTTGGAGTTGGAGTCTCACTCCGTCGCCCAGACTGGAGTGCAGTGGCCACTCCTGGCCACCGCAGCCTCGACCTGCTGGGCTCCGGCGATCCTTCCGCCTCAGCCTTCCGAGTAGCCGGAATTACAGGTGTGCGCTACCACGCCCAGCTAATTTTTTGATTTATTGTAGAGCTGAGGTCTCGCTGTCCAGGCGGGTCTCGAACCTGCGGGCTCAGGCAATCCACTCACCTCAGCCTCCCAAAGGCACGGAATTACAGGCTGAGCCACCGAGCCCAGGTCTACCCACATATTAAAACACATCTCTTAGGATGGGTGAAAGAGAAGTAGATAATTTGATAAATGAATGATTCCTCTTAGATCATATATAGAGGTAGATAAGGGCCTCCAGTGCTGTAACCTAGCAGTGTGTGTCACATGGCAGTTTTAGAACTGGTTGGGAAATGGTAGGTTGAACAGGAAAGAGGTGAAGAGGTCTTTTTGTAACTCCTAAAATTACTGCATGTGGATGACTCTGGACTTAAGTAAGCAGCCCTTGTATTTCATGAACACTCCCTTGAAGACATTTATTTCCAAGTTAATGAAGCAGAGGACGCCTTTCTCAAATGTTACTTTGGGACCCTAGAATATTAGTTTAATACAGCAGATTTCTTTTTTCTGGGAACAGAGTGCAAGAGCCTATCTGAGGACATCTTAACTGCCTTCAACTCTCCCTTAGATGAGACTTCTATTTCATGCAGAGGACCTGTGTGACATCCATTTCACCTGCCTTGCTCTAGGAGGAGTCCTGTTTTCCCCTATCACCATGGGTACCAGTGTTTCAGCTCCCTGAGAATACATAGTGATGTTCTATCTCTGCATTTATTAATCCTAGAAGAACCACATCAAGTAGGAGCTATCTATCCCAGTTCTCTGTCCTTATGGATCCAGTTTAGTAAATATTTAATAAGTAATTATTAATGTAAAGAACTTCAATGAAAACTGTGGAGCTTGGAGAGAAAGAACAACCTTCCCTGGGAGCCCATAGTTTAGTGGAGACAGAAACATAGAAGTACAATATTTTTTTTTGAGTCGGAGTCTCACTCTCTTGCCCAGGCTGGAGTGCAGTAGTACACTCAAGGCCACCACAGCCTTGACCTACTGGGCTCAGACGATCCTTCCACCTCAGCCTTCCAAGGAGCTGGAACTACAGGCATGAGCCACCATGCCCAACTAATTTTTTGAATTATTGTAGAGATGAGGTCTAGCCAAGTTGCCCAGGCTGGTCTCAAACCCCTGGACTCAGGCAATCCTCTCTCCTCGGCCTCCCAATGTGCTGGGATTACAGGCTTGAGCCACCACTCCCGGCCCTAGAGCATTGTTTCTTAATCTTAACTGCACATTAGATGACCTGGGGAACTCTGAAACATCCAAGGCCCAGGCTGCACTCCAGACCAATTGGATTAGCACTCCAGACCAATTGGATTAGACGCCCTGGAGGTGGGACCCAGGCATCAGTATTTTGTAAAGCTCTCTGGGAGATTCCCATGTTCTGTCTTGCTAAGCTAGAGGAAAACAAACTTGGAAAAACCTGCAGTAAAGGACTACAAAATGCTGTATGAACATGGGGACCGCCACCATTCTGGATATGCTAATGTTCTTATCCACTGTCTGACCGCATTTCTGCCCATGAATTCAGAAAATACATCCTTTCACTGTAACCATGAGGAACATTTAGATCAGTTTGATTGTAGGGCATTTAGAAACTATATACTCTGGGAGGTATGGTCTGAAAGAAACTACTTGTCTGAGGGAAAAAGGGCCCAAAAAAAGATCAACCCCAAAGGATGACCCCAAAATTCATTCCATGTGCTACCTCTCTCCCCTGGAATGTTTTTTCACTCCCTTGTCTTTCTGAAGAAGTCCTAGTCATCCTCCAAGCTCCCAGATGAACATTCACCTCCTTTGTGAACCCTTTTCTTTCCTTCCCCCTACTCCAGGCAAAACCGGATCCCTATTTTTCTGTTACTCAGCTCCTTGTATCTAGGTCTGTTTTTAGCAGTGAATTATAATTATTATTAAATGTAGTTATAATATAGCAGACTGCTTATCTTATGGGTCTTGCTTATCTTTGTTTCCCTAGTATCTAGGACAGTCTCTTGGCTTATAGAATGAATAAACAGAGCTGCAGCAATTTTAGGTAGAGTCGAAAAAAGTCATGCCACCATCAGGAAAGATCTAGAGACAGGAGATCCTCAACTCCCTTCATCCTGTTTCTGAGTGTCGGGATCTACTGCTTCCAAATAGTGGGGATGGAGAAATCGTCAGACACACTCACGGATGTAAAGTGGCAGAGGTAGTGATGGAAGGAGGGCTCACGAGGCTTCAGCTGTAGCGGTGAGCTTGAGTTTCATCTGCAGGGTTTTGTTGGGAGAGGAAGAAACAGAAGGAACTTCACGGGTTTTCAAGTATGTGTATAGACTAAGGAAAAGTGTCTGTGCTGCTGATTTCTGTTTTATTCAGATCAGAGGCATCCCAAAAAAGTTCAGAGCAGCTTTCTGTCTGGGAAAATTGCTTGTCTCTTTTATTTTTAAACTTTAAATCTTTTTTTAAAAATTGGGTTTAAAATTTTTTTGAAGGTTTTACACCTATGAAGGTGAAAAGATCATTTCAATTTTATACATACAAGGGCCATACATTCCAGATTTTCTAGGACAGTGCTAATTTTAGATCTTAGGTCCTGATTTCAGACTGTTAATTCTGATTTTTATATGGAAAGTATGGTTGTTGTTCTTATCATTGGCCAGCACTGGTCAGGGTAGTTAAAGATCTCTTAGTAGTAAACATGTTTAATTAATTACCTTACATTTATCTTTGAGAGCTTAAATATGGCTGCCTCCTGGACAAAAAAGAAGCTTGAAGGTAATATCATACTAGCATTCAGTACATTGCTTTAAGCACCAGATTTTTGTTGAAAGTGTTTTTTTGGTGAAGACAATATATATCAACACTCCTCTCCCTACCACAAATTAATGCAAAAACGCTTCAAGGAAAAAAATGGTCATTAAGAACTGTTCTTTCATTAAGAACTGTTCTTTAGAAATGTTTCTTCGTGAGGGATAGTCACAGAAGCCCAAGAGGGAAACCAGACCCTGCTAGAGCTTCATGCTGGAGTGACATCTCCTTGTGCCATGGGCCAGATGGACTCTCAGCACTATGGCGGCTATAACCCACAAGGGCTTTACTTTTAGTAGGCAAAATTTTGAATATATTCATGTTTATCCTTGTCTGTTACCTTAATAACCATCATTGTTTTGGTTACTGTGAATTTGGTTGCTATGATTTCTATTTCTGCTTAATGGATTCAGACCAAATTGAACCTTTATAATCTGACAGTGACCAAAATCATATCAATTTTAATTGAATGATCCATAATTGTACAATCTTTTTACCTATTTGAAAAGTATAACTTTTTTCCTCACTAAGTAATTCAAAAAATATAAAATAAAAAGGCTAGACTTTGTAATATGCTTTTATATAAGCTTTGAAAAAGTTGCTTACTAATATTAACAGTTACCTTTAGAGATAGGGTCTCGCTATGTTGCCCAGGCTACATTTGAACTTCTGGGCTCAAGTGATCCTCCCACCTCAGCCTCCCAAAGTGCTGAGATAACAGGCATGAGCCACCACACCTCGCTAGCAGTTACATTTTGTTGGTTTCAATCATCAACTGCCATAAGTTCTCCAGTAACCTAGTTACATTTCTTAGAGGACATCTTATATGTTCTTCAGTCAATATGTTATTTTATGAAACAACAGAATAGCATCAAAATATATGTCATTGATAGGCAAACTATATAGTACATGAACTGCATCATCCTTTGGAAAAAGCAAGCTGTCTTCAGATGTCATTAAATTAGGAGCTACTTCTGGCTCATGTAGCAGTGTTGGTTGTTCCATGTGTTGCCATAATGCCTCTGTAATGGAAAATCTGCAATAAGTAAGGGCGGCGTCTCTCCCAGTAGCCAGGCAGTCTGTATTTCTGTAAGCCAACATCTGTGTTTGTCCATCTGCCCAAGTTTTCCTCTCTTGCAGCCTCATTACGGTACTTTGGTGTTGTAACATTTAGGAACTTCTTGTATGCTTGCCCAGAATCCCAGCGGCTCTTCAGCTGGTGGCAACACACTCACCGGGAGCCATGTTTGTGATCCCTACCCCTCTGTGATGCCCAACAAGTGGAGGGAACAAGGATCTGTGTGGCAGTGGAGCTTGGTATGAGTTCTACCACACTTGACTAAGGGTCAAGAGAGGGCGGGGCCAGAGAGAGCCTGAGCCGAGATCAGCCGAACCCGCTCCTGAAATGAATGGACGCTAGTTATGTTTCCCTGCCAATGCACAAGTCTACGCGTTGACAGATGACAACCAATCTAAGTGTCAAATATGATTGCTAGCCTTAGGAATCAATCTGTGTGACGCCATTTTAACAGGAGGCCTCATTCTGCTTTTTCCATCCAGAACTAAGAGAAAGGAAGTGAGCATGGTTTTTGCTCACAGAATGGATGACAGCAAGCTGCCTCTGGTCACTCCTACACTTCTGGTGCCTCTTCAAAACCACAACTGCACGGAAACAGCCACAACCCCGCCAAGCCATGCCCCAGCGGAGTTGCATGAGGAGCACGGTTGGATGAGCAACAGAACAGACCCTCAGTACGGACTGGGGCCCGGGGAGGTGGCCGCAGCCAGCATTTTCTTCGGGACTCTGTGGTTGTTCTCCATCTTTGGCAACTCCTTGGTTTGTCTGGTCATCCACAGGAGCAGGAGGACTCAGTCCACCACCAACTACTTTGTGGTCTCCATGGCGTGTGCTGACCTTCTCATCAGCATTGCCAGCACGCCCTTCGTCCTGCTCCAGTTCACCACTGGAAGGTGGACGCTTGGCAGCGCCATGTGCAAGGTCGTGCGGTACTTTCACTATCTCACTCCAGGCGTCCAGATCTACGTTCTCCTCTCCATCTGCCTCGACCGCTTCTACACTATCGTCTATCCTCTGAGCTTCAAGGTGTCCCGAGAAAAGGCCAAGAAAATGATTGCGGCGGCGTGGATCTGTGACGCCGCCTTCGTGACCCCGGTGTTCTTTTTCTATGGCTCCAACTGGGACCGTCATTGTAATTATTTTCTCCCTTCCTCTTGGGAAGGGACTGCATACACTGTCATCCACTTCCTGGTGGGCTTTGTGATTCCATCCATCCTCATCATCTTATTTTACCAAAAGGTCATAAAATATATTTGGAGAATAGGCACGGATGGCCGAACAGTGAGGAGGACAATGAACATCGTGCCAAGGACAAAAGTGAGGACAATCAAGATGTTCCTCATTTTAAACCTGCTGTTTTTGCTCTCCTGGCTGCCTTTCCATGTGGCTCAGCTGTGGCACCCCCATGAACAAGACTACAGGAAAAGTTCCCTTGTTTTCACAGCCCTCACATGGATATCCTTTAGTTCTTCAGCCTCTAAACCCACTCTGTATTCAATTTATAACGCCGATTTTAGGAGGGGGATGAAGGAGACTTTCTGCATGTCCTCCATGAAATGTTACCGAAGCAATGCCTACACTATCACAACCAGTTCAAGGATGGCCAAGAAAAACTATGTTGGCATTTCAGAAATGCCCCCCACAGCCAAAACGATAACCAAAGACTCGATCTATGATTCATTTGACAGAGAAGCCAAGGAAAAAAAGCTTGCTTGGCCTATTAACTCAAATCCACCAAATACTTTTGTCTAATTTCTCAGAGTTCTTTCAGTTGTTATGCACCAGAGATTAAAAAGCTTTATCTATAAAAACTGAAGCTATTTACATCTTTTTCACTCTGCTTTCTGAGGGAAATGTTTTATTTTGTAAAATGCATTCATTTACTTATATAGTTTTTGTGGGTTTTATTCTAGTTGCTTTTTGTTGTGGAAAAGCTTTCACTTTTAACTACAGTCAACAGTCCTTTTACTATATTAGTTACATGTATAAAAAAGAAAATGCTTTCCTGCTTTTTATTTGCCATTAGATCCAAAAAGCAAAAACCATACACACAGTCTTTGACGAATTATTGAACATCATTTTATTTTGTTTCCTTTTTCTCCTCCCTGCTGAATTTTTATAGCCATGGTCTTCTGTTCCAAATGAAATCCCCAGGTCTCTCATTTCGGAGATTTGTACTCCCTTCACTAAGCAACATTTAGGAAGGGTTAATATTGTATATGTTTTCACATTCTCTTCTTCCAAGTAACCACCGGCCAGATCTGCTGTGGAAAGCACTCCGTGTACTGGAATATATTGGAACTTCCTGGGAAGTCTTCTGTGATTGGATTTTAATAAGGCTTCTTAGAGAAAGAAAGCTTACAGAGTTGCCTGACTTCCTCTTGTTCTCATCCTTTCTTAATCTAAGCAGCTGATGAAGCCTTGAGAAATCTGAAGTCAACACAATGTTTTCCTCACATCTGTGTCCCATCTAGGCTATATCTAGGACGCTCTCCCCAACCTCCCGTTTTTGAGTTCTATACAAGTAAATGAGCAGGTGCCCTTGCTTCTCTCTGCTCTGCAGTTCAGGCAGAGAGAGCTTCAGCTGCCCACCCTACCCCATATACCACCACCACAAGGGCAAGGACTACCTTCCTCGTTCTAGAAACTCAGACGTGAGGACACTGCTCCAGCCAGAGTCTCCTCCCCCTCATCTCTCTCCAGGTCACAGCAGCACACCCTGGCCAAGCTCAAACTCTTCTTTGCCTGTGATAACTAGGGATTTTTTTTTCCCCCATGGTTCCCAGGTTTCCATTATTTCAAATCTAGGACTAGCCAGCACATTTAAAAAAATGTTTTTATTTAAACAATAAAGGGCTTACAGACAGGACTGGTATTCATTTTCATGCCCTAGTTAACAAGAACTGCAAATAATAACTCCAGTTGTTCAGCAGTTTTACACGCATTATCTCATTCTGTCCTCTCGACAATTCTGTGATATGTTTATTATCATCTCTGTTTTATAGATGAAGAAACCAAAACTCAAAAGTTACGTGGCCTGCCCAAGTTGAAATGTAACAGAGCTGATCTTCACACGTAGGGCTCTCACTGCAAGTCTGCTGCTCTTGGCGTTTCAGATGTCTCCCGAAAGAACACGAGGGGCCAGACCCATCCAGGCCTCGAAGGGCCTCCTCCTGATCACTGCCTCCCTGGAGTCTAAGCTGTAAGAGAATCTGGCCTTTCTTTTCCATTAAAAAAAAGTCAACTGAGTTTAAGATTCATTGACTATTCTTAAGAGTCTAGGTGAAATGTAATGAAACAAGACAAGATTGGGTTTGACATTTAGGGCACAGAATAACAAAACGTTTAATCTGCAAAACATTTACAGAGCTGATATTTTCAAGTTGAGATGCTTCTTTCAATCCACAAATTCTAAAGATAAAAAGAGTAGCTCATAACTTTCTCCCTTTTTCTCTTCCTCACATTCTTGCTTATCCCATCAGCAAGTGGCTCACTAAAACAACAAAATGAGCCAGATATTTATCTCACTTGGCCCTTGAATTTTATGGAAGTTCATACTTGATAAAAAATAGAAAAGGCCAGGCATAGTGGCCCATACCTATAATCCCAGGACTTTGGGAGGCCGAGGCAGGAGGATAGCTTGAGTCCAGGAGATCAAGACCAGCTTGGGCAACATAGCAAGACCTCATCTCTACAAAAAAACAAAACAAAACAAAAATCAAAAAATTAGCTGGGTGTGGTGGCACATGCCTATAGTCCCAGCTACTCAGGAGGCTGAGGCTGCAGTGAGCCCTGACTTGTGCTACTGCACTTCAACCTGGGCAACAGAGAGACCTCAACTCAAAAACAAAAACAAAGTTGAAAAGACCCCTGCAATAGTTCAGTAGTTTTATTTTTGTCTTTTAAAATGGAATATCATTAGGGTTAGATTTTTGTAAAAAGTTTAATTTGTTTCCATTCTAAGTTTATGTATTTTTATGACTCCATTTAAACTAAAAGAGACATATTTGATGATTTCAAAGCTCCATTCTGTCTTCACTGTTCTGTGAGCTTACACCAATAGGGGAGAATTCAGTGAGACAACCTCAAAAAGCTCTTGTATAAGGAATTTATTTTTATATCTCCCAAAGAATGACAAATTCAGAGTTTTTAATCAAATCACACTCAAGAGAGCTGCAAAGTCTCAAGACCTATGTGAATTCAGCTATGTTCTCTCGGAGTGTTGTAATTCACTGTATTTTAGTTTAGTTTAATATTCAAGATTCCTAGTGTCTCACTGGATCCTGACATTGGAGGAAGCTGGATATAATGCACGGATTGATGAAGACTTGTTTAACCCAGAAACTCAAGAACAGCATTCACCACACTTCACATTTACCAGAACCAGAATTAGGCCAGGCATGGTAGCTCACACTTGTAATCCCACCATTTTTGGAGGCTGAGGCAAAAGGATTGCTTTAGGCCAGGAATTCAAGACCAGCCTGTGCAACATAAGGAGACCTTGTCTCTGCAAAAAAATTTTTAAAAATTAGCAGGCATGGTGGTGCACACCTGTAGTTCCAGATACTCAAGAAGCTGAAGTGGGAGATCCCTTGAGCTCAGGAGGTCAAGGCTGCAGTGAGCTGTGCTCATGTCACTGCACTCCAGAATTAAGCCACAGCGAGACAGGCTATCAGAAAAGATAAGAAAATCTCTCTACTCTTGCCAGGCCCATGCTAATTGAACCCATTGGGTTCAGACATTCTCCAAACCGAAGTCCAAGAAAGGTGATAGCAGGGAGGCAGGGTCGAGGCAATTCTCTTGCCTGGCTCCAGGTTCCCATAAACCGTGCCTGTGGGGGACAGGGATGCATCCTCTGAGGTGGAATTTGGGTGTCTCCCTTCTCATCATAAGTGAGAGTGTTAGGCCCTGGCCTCCTGCTGAGTCAACAGCATCCCGGATGCGGAAGCTTCTTCCCTGGGCCAGGCCTCTCAGGAAGGAAGGGCCATTTGCCGCAGGCCTACCTCCACCCAGCATGTAGGGAGCAGAAGCAAGAGAAGGTTGGCAATGTGGCCTCTACTGGTGGGCACAGAGGGCAAGTCCCTACTGGTGCCCCTCCATCCTTGCCACCCTTTGCTCAAACTCACTTTGAAGCCGCATAGCCAGGTTAAGTTGGAGCTTACTTGACCAGGTCCACTTCAAGGTTATGTTTCTCTCTAAGAACTATCTGAGCCAGCGCAGCAGTTCACCCCTGCAACCCCAGCACTTTGGAAGACAGAGGCGAGAGGATTGCCTGAGCCGAGAACATAGTGAGACCTTGCCTCTACAAAAAACTTTAAAAATTAGCCGGGTATAGTGGTGTGCACCTGTAGTCCCCCTTATTCAGAAGGCTGAGACAGAAGGATTGTCAGCCCAGGAGGTAGCACTGTGGTGAGCCGTGATCATGTCATTGCACTCCGGCTTGGGCAACACAGTGAGACCCCAATTCAAACAACAACAAAAACCATCTGTAAAAGAAGCAAAGACTTAGACACTTAGCAGAAGGGACACTGAGAAACCTTGCCCAAGCCTCTCATTATTTAGAAGAAGAAATTAAGACCAAGAGAGAGGATGTTACGGCTAAACTACAATATCGTCTAGTGGTCAGTTCAACATTCTTTCAACAACTTTGCCATTCTGCTTGCAGTGGCATGTGTGGTGTTTTGCTTGTTTGTTTTTGTTTTTTAATTTATGGGCAGGGTCTCCTATGTTGCCCAGGCTAGTCTCAAACTGATCTCAAGGGATCCTCCCGCCTTAGCCCCCTGAGCAGCTGGGACTGACTGCAGGCACATGCCAGCGCACCCAGTTTGATTCGTTTATTAGATTAAAAAATCCTCACTGTGTGCAGAAGAATATGAAAGGCATACACAATTCCCCGCTGTTCGCTTAACCTGCTAATTCATCTGGAAAAGAGATGGCCTTAGCTGAGGGCCCTAATTGGAGAACAGCGTGAACAAACCGACTTTCTCTAACAGTTTTGCGGGATGACCACTTGATGGCGCTGTGGCTTGCGGGCCGAGCCCACCGCCTCTTCACGATGCCTGTCACATTGGCGAATTCAGGGAAGTCCCCGTCGCCTAGCAACAAGACAGGGAAAATTGCGGAGCACCCAGAAGCAGCTGTAGATTAACGAATCAATCAGTGTGTTCAAAACACAAAGCATCTGAACACTGGAGGAAATTCCAAAATAATTAATACCCTTTTCAGACATGAAATCACTAGTCAAAATATTGTTTTAAACCCATTTCACAAATGTGATCATTTTCCAAAAACCCATCAGACCACCAAACTGGCAGTCGTGCCACCCCTTGCCAGGGCCTCCCTCCGCCTTTCTTCTCTTTCATCGCTGACTCGGGGAATTCACGGGCTTTTCACCGCAGTGTAATCTGGGGCTTCCCTGCAAAGTGAGTGCTCATCTGCAGCTGGTAAGTAGCAGTCCTGTTTCTTTTCGGTTGGATTCGTTTCAGGCCTGTTGCATTTCTCTCAGACTCTCTGTACATTTGTTGAGCCCCTACCATCTGGGCCGTTCTGAACTTTCTGCACAAATGAGCACTTCAAGAGCTCCATATCTTCTTTCCCAAAAGAAATCTCTTTGAAAGTACCGCTTTATGGACCTAGCACAGTGGCTCATGCCTGGGACTAGCACTTTCTGCGGCCCAGGCAAGAGGATAGCTTGAGCTCAGGAGTTCGAGACCAGCCTGGGCAACATGGAGAGACCTCGTCTCAACAATAAAATAAAAAAATTAGTCGGGCATGGTGGCATGCGCCTGAAGCCCCAGCCATTCGGGAGGCTGAGACAGAAGGATCGCCTGAGCCGAGGAGGTCGAGGCTGCTGTAGCCTGAGCATGGCACTGCACTCCAGCATGGGC